CGGCTCTGACGGCCGCCCCCCCTGCAGCGCGGGGGCAGCGAGTGACGGCCGCGGCCAGCGGCAGCAGCAGCAGCGGCCCACTGGGCCCCGCAGGAGCGGGGCCTCGGGGCCGACTGTCGGCAGTGTATACAGCGAAGTGTGGGAAGGTTTGGCGACCTGTGGGTGGTCAGGAACAACCCTGGAAGGGCCCTTGGGCCCTTGTGCCCGAGGGCGCCCCCGCAGCAGCGGGGGCTGCGCCGCCTGGCGTTTCAAGCTCAGCAGCGGCGGCGCGATCGGAAGTTTCTACGATGCGCACCCGCCCAGGTGACTCGGTGGTGGATCCGAGCGATGACGAAGAGCCTCAGGAAAAGCGGCGCGATCAGCCGGCCTTTGGGGGCTGCGCGCCGCCCGACGACGTCGAGCGGCGCAGGTGCGTTCTTCGCGACACCGTCCCGCTCCAGCTCTTCTGCGAGCGTAGAGCGGCTGAAGTGAACAGGCAGCGGAACGACAACGTGGGCAACCTTTCCGTCCTGTTCGGGAACTGGGGCCCCATGCCGAGCGAGACCAACAGCGCGGACCAGCGGCGGAGACTTGAGTTGCAGCTGCGGCATTGCCCTGCTCTCGTGGCGTGCTTTGCGGAATGTGAGGAGCAGATGGAGGCAATCCTACAGCGGCCAGGGAAACCGCCGCCGCTGCAGGCGGACGCCCCCGCAGCAGCGGGGGCGTCAGCAGCGGAGGGCCAAAGCAGCAGCAGCGGTGGGCCTTTTGTCGCCCCCGCAGCAGCGATGGCGACAGCAAGAGGAAGTCGTGCTGCGAGTGTTGGCGATTGCCAACAGCTCCAGAATCGACCAGAGTACGAATACTTGACCCTGCGCGGGCGTGAGGACAAGTCCTTGTGCATCGCTGCGCGCGCAAATCTGTGCCACGGAATGCGGCTGCTCCACTGGGAAAGGAGTGTCGACGGCCACTACAAAACTGAAAAAGGGAAGAAGAGGGAAGCGTTCTCGAGGATCATGGTGGTTGAGGTCTACTTCGATCAAACCTACGCCCACTTCGGCTCGGAAGTGCGGGTGTGCGCGGTGCACCTCCACCGCGACACGGCGAATGCTTCCAAAGGCTTTAAGGGGGCTCACAAGACGTGGTGGTCGAGGCTGGCGGCCATCTTGCAGGAGAACAAGGTTGACATCCTTTGTGGGGATTTCAACATGGCGCTCACACAGACGCTTCCGAGTCTTCGGGGTCTAGGCTTGCGATTGGAGACGGCAGCAGCGTACTTCTGGCGCGGATTGGACGGCGCTCCGTGCTTGGACAGCTGCGGCGTCTTCGTTCTCAACAGGCCTGGCGAGTACACCCTGCGCTGGCCGCTGAGCGCCGTGCACGACAGAGACGAGACGGGGTTGCTCTTCGTACGCAAGTCGGTGATCGGTGAGATCGGGTACCGTAACAGAAGCAAGGCAGAGGCCCCCGCAGCAGCGGGGCCCCCCACCAGCCCATCATCGGAGCCGACGTACTGGCACCACTGCCAGGAAGGAGGCCCTGGGATGTCTTACGATCGCTACTGCCCGAAAAATGACGCCCTCCAGGATTTACTGACTCAGTCAGAGGAATGCCAACGCAAGACCCAAGAGAAGGAGCGTGAGAAACAGAGGCGCGCCGAGGCTGAGCGTAGAGGGGACCACCGCTTCTCTAATTTTCGCGAGGTGACCCTCTTCCGCGCGTTGCAGAAGACGTTCCCGTCGGAGACCGTGGAGGTGGAGGGGCGCTGGCACGGCGGCGCCCACTACCCTCTCCTGTTCCAAATGCGCATGGCCAGCTCGCGTTCGCAGGGAAGGAAGCACGAGATAAACAAAGAGAAGAAGGACAGGCGCGCCCAGAAACAGCAAGCAGCAGCGCTCCAGGGCGCCGCAGCAGCGGCGACCGAGCAGCACGGACCCGAGCGCCAGGCGCCAGAGCAGCACCGCGAGAGGGACGAGCAAGACGAGCGCGCCCAACAGGCGTGGCGCCCACCAAGATGGGCAGACGAAAACGCGGACGACGACCGCGACTGGCCCGCGGCTGGCGATGGAAGGTCGCGGCGGGGGGTTGAAAGGGGGAGGGAGGGAGAGGGAGGGTGGAGCACGGGGAGGGCAGGAGGGAGGAGAGGGAATGAGGAATAGGCTGAGCAGGACGAGGGATGACATAAGGAAATGAGTGTCGGGAAGGGGCGGGAGTTGACAGGAAGGGGATAATTATAGAAATAGTTACTTATCACCCCCAAGGTGGCAGCCGACCCCGCAGTGGCCATCTCCAGGGCCTGCGCCGCTGGAGCAGCGAGGGCAAGGGTTGCAAGAGCAGCAGCCGCGGGAGGCGCCGCGGCATCAGCCGCCAGAGCCCCCGCAGCAGCGGGGGCCACAGACGCCATGGCAGCACCCAACAGACGGGGAGTGGCGCAGGGATGAGTGGCGCGGCAAACCGTGGGACTGGTGGCGCACCAGGGGGGGGGGCGAGGAGCGCGAGTGGCAACAGCCGAGCGGCGAGGCTTCCTCGCTGCAGGACCGCAGGGTCGACTCCGCCAGGCGCGACATGCAAGTTGCATTCGGCAGCGACCCGCGCCCCAGTGACTGGTGGAGCAGCCACAGTGGGCGGAGTGGCGGCCAGGGGCACTGGGAGGCCACGAATACGACACACTGGAGGTGGGTCGAACACCCCCCCGAGACCAATCCCTGGGAAGAACTTAATTAGCTGGGCCATCGCACAGGGGCCGCCCCTCCGCAGCAGCGGAGGGGGGCCTCATCGGCCGAACGTCGACCCTCCGCAGCAGCGGAGGCCTTGCCAATGCATCGTGAGCGGCGGCGACTCGCGCGCGCCGTCGTGCTCGGCGACCGCTGCCCGAGCGGAGAAGGAAAAAGAAACGGTGCTTTCATCGGTGCTGTCGTTGCCTCCTCTCCTTCATCGTTTTCTTCTCCCTCCCCCTCCAATCCCCCATCCCGCCATCACATTTTATCGTTTCCAATCGTATCGGGAGCTCCCGTGGCAGAAGAGCACCCAGAACGAGGTCCTCCGCGACAGAGGGGGGGCATCTTAGGGCCCCTCTGCGACAGAGGGGGGGGCAAAAAACAAATGATCACTTTAATGCGGCTTCTGGATTACCCCACGCATGCGCGAGTGAGGTGTATTGTACGGGGCGTGAAAACGACCACAGCCACCGTTTTTCTTTTGTTGACGCCTTCCAGCCCGCAGCAACAAAGCAGCGGTTGTGGTCATTTTCGTTGAGCTTGGCACCAGGGAAATGACCGCGACCACTGTTTTTTTTCGGCCGGCTGGAAGGCGGCGCAAACAAGAGGCAGTGGCTGTGGTCATTCTCCCGTCCCGCATATTGTTGGCCAGCTTTCGCTGGCGGACGTCGCGGGCATGGGTCGGGCAGCGGTCGCAAGCGGGAGCGCGGGCCGGTCACGGAGGTGGTGGTTGCCCACAGGGGAACGACGGTCCACCCCGTCGCGTCTGCGTGGCCTGCTCCTGCGGCGGACAGGACGCGCGCGACACACCTCGCGCCGCGGTTCGGCAACGGCAGGTACATCCAGTTCCGTGGGACGAGCACGACGCGACCGCGAGAAGGTCGCACCAGGCCCTGGTATGGCGTGGTGCTCCTCAGTGCGCGGCGTCAGGAGCCGTCGCCGGGGTCGTCACGATACGAGCCTGTCGTAGACGTTCGTGGGGATCCCGCGCCCCTGCCCTCCGCGAGAGGGCACGGGGCACGGGGCTCGGGGCAGCCCGGGGCCCCCAGGGTCTGGAGGGCCTCAGGACTTGGCGGGCCCAGCACCGTGGGAGCCGCTGGCCCTGCCAGGACCTCCTACCCCTCCTACCCCTCCTCCTCCTCCTCCTCCTCCTCCTCCTCCTCCTCCTCCTCCTCCTCCCCCTCCCTCCTCCCTCCTCCTCCTCCTCCTCCTCCTCCTCCTCCTCCTCCTCCTCCTCCTCCTCCTCCTCCTCAGGGCCCAGCACTGTGAGGAACCGCTGGCCCCCCCCCGGGCTTAGCGGGCCCTGGGAACTACAGGCCAGCTTTTGTTGTTCGCCGTCTTTGGCAGTTTGTGGCGCAATTTCGACGCTTTCGGCGCCCCAGTGTCATGATCAGGAGACAGTTTTGTTGAAAACGATCGACGCATGTGCCAGCCGCTCTTAGGACCCACTGAGCCCCCGGGACGCTTTTCCGTGAGCGGGCAGGAATGGAATGCACTTCGGCTGGTTCTGGCAAGCACCATTGGACTTCCGGCGGCGCACCATCCTTGAGGAAGCACGCGCGGTCCTGGGGCGTACCATGGTTTGTATTTGGGAAGTGCCATCCTAGTGCGGACACCCACGGAGTCCTTGCAAGCGGTGGTAGGCGGATTTTGCAAACAGTGTCATGGCGCTCGGTTTGCGGATCCATTGTGTTTGGCGAGAGGTCATGATTTGGGAGCACGGATTCCATTTAATTTTCGCGGCATTGCGTCCCAGGGTTGCGGATGCACTGTCTGTTGTAAGGGTGTTTAGTTTGCGGAGGATTGGCATTGTTTGTTTTATGAAGGGACCAGGGCCTCGGGAGCCCAGAGCAGTTTTATTTTTGGAACGTGGCCCTGGGAGCACGACCCCCTTGTATTTTTACAGGTGTCGTGGCCTTGGGAGTGCGGGCCCAATGCGTTCTAGAGAGTTGGTGGCCTTGGGATGTCGGACCTCGACTGATCATGGAACCGGAAGTACGGGTTGGTTCCAGTTTGAGCAGGATTTGTGGAGGGCTCGTGTCCCTGGATCAAAGTCATTGTTTTTGACACGTCCCAAGGCCAGGGCTCGGAGAAGGTCATTTTGGTCTTGCGGCGGCCGTGCGCGATGTTGACAAAACAAGTTACTAAACATTGACTGCGTGCTGGATTGAAATCGTGAGTATGCGTGTGGGAACGCTCAGTGCCGCGCGCCATCGGTTGCTAAGCGGTGGGCGTGATGCTGCATCGCTGTGCCACTTGGACAGCAGACCTGCGCAGCTTGGTGGCCTGCGCAAGGCGGGTCGGCAGATTTACGTTAAGCTCAACGGGTCCAGCAACTACGTCTACATCACGAGGCACAAACTCCTCAAGAACCGGCACCTGCGCGCCGCGGTCATGCGCCCGTACACGTCCCAGTACCCGAAGTTCGGCAGCGGCGTGGTGCTCTTCCTGCACGCCTCGCCGCGGGAGGCCAGGCGCCGCCCCGAGCTCACCCGTGTGGCGGCCTGGCCCGCCTTCTGGCTCGTGGTGTACGCCCGCAGCGACGGCCGCGAGGTCTACTCCTGCCAGTCCTGCGAGGTGCTCCCGGGCGGCCTGCGCGAGCTCTCCGACGGGGCCCTGGTGCTGCTGTCGAAGCACGAGAGCCTGCGGCACATGCTCCTGAGCATCTACCCCGTGTCCCCCGAGGAGAGCGCCCTTTTGTTCTTAAGCCTTTCTGGGCCATCCTCCCCATCCCTCCCCCCCCTCCCCCCCCCCCTCCCTCGCCCCCCTCCCCCCTCCCCCCTGCCCTCCCTCCCCCCCCTCCCTCCTCCCCCCTCCCCATAACGCGACGCTCCCCCGCTCCATGCGTCCCCGGCGCTGCCGCAGGGCGTCCGGCACCACAATCTGGGGGGGGGGGGCTACGTTGTGCCCCCTCCCGTCCCCCCTCAGAGCGTGAATTACCTACCCCGCTTTCGCTTCCAGGCAAAACCAAGCCATACCACGCGCCACCTCGTCAAGCGGCCTGACCAGTACAGGCTGCAATTTGGCATCGTTTGGTATCTCTTGGAAGCGAGGGTGGTCAAAAGCGAGGTAGGTTTGCTTTCCCCCTACCCCCTCCTCTCCACCCCTCATAATACGCCCCTTCTGGCGGCGAGTGAAAAGATGCGCCCCAGGGGTGCCTGACCGTCCCGCCGATCTCGGAGGAGGAAAAGCAACACTACCTTTCAGTCGGGCCTGTCCCTCTGCAGGGGGAGTATGCAACAATAGTCAAAAATATAATCTGGGGACGATTCTGTGACTATCTTTGAGCATATGTTGATTATTTTGTGACTTTTCTGTTTTTCGTCAAATCCCTCTGTAGGGGGACAGGCCCGACTTAACACTACCTTGCCAGACCACCCAGACCAACCCGATGGGCCCCAGAGCCTCCAAAAGTTCGGGCTGGGGGGCGTACGGATTCCATTGTATGTCCTCCATGCTCTGGAATGCCGCCCCCTCACTGGAAATTAAGAGGCCTGGTGGCGACTTCGGCATGTTGGGTGGGGGGTAGTCCGAAAACACGGCGTAAACTTACAGTTCCGAGGGTCCGCGCGGATTTCTCGGCTCGGCGCTGGGACTCCGCGCGCCAGGGAGGAGATCCAGCGCGGATCCAAGAGCTCCACGCGGACCTCCGAAGGTTTATGCTATGCCACTTTTCCCTCCTCCACGATCCTCGTGAACCCCATCGCGCCGCAGCCGTACTTCGGCCTCGTGAGGGAGCCAGGCCGCACCGGCTTCCGGATGAAGGGCAAGGTCAGGGGCAGCGTCAGGGGGGGATGCCGTTGGGCCTGTTTCCACCACCACCACCACCAGAAGTTGGAGGGGGAGGGGGTCCTCCTCGTCCTCCTCCTCCTCGTCCTCCTCCTCCTCCTCCTCGTCCTCCTCCTCCTCCTCCTCGTCCTCCTCCTCCTCGTCCTCCTCCTCGTCCTCCTCGTCCTCCTCGTCCTCCTCCTCCTCCACCTCCTGCTCCTTCTCCTCCTCCTCCTTCTCCTCCTCCTCCTCCTCCTTCTCGTCCTCCTCCAGCTTCTGGTGGTGGTGGTGGTGGAAGACAGGCCCAGCAGATGTGGCTCGGGTGGCAGCGCCTCGACCACCCATTGCCTATATGCATCGCCGAGGGGGGGCCCGCGGCAGCCCACGGCGCCCACGAGCGTGCGAATCTCTGGGGGCCACGCGCGAACCCAAACCCCATACCCCCCACGATTGCTGAGGGGGAGGTTGGGGTTCACTTCGCTCAGGAGCTCCCGAGCGAAGTGAGCCCCACACCTCCCCCTCGGAAATCGTGGGGGGTATGGGGTAGGGTTCGCACGTGGCCTCCCAGAATCTGGGATCGGCGGCTCATCTCGAAGAAGAGAAGAGCACAGAAACAGGAACTTCTGGCGCTCCGCGCGGACTTCTCGGATCCGCGCCGGGAGCCCCCTGGCGGCGCCTCCGGCGCCGCCCCTGGCGCGCGCCAGGGAGCGGGGTATGGCGCGGTTCCAAGAAGTCTGCGCGGAGCGCCACAATGTATGTTTATGTGTTGTTGTTGTTGTTGAACATTATTAATTCTAAAGAATAATTATTGTTGGGGCCCCTGGTGCGCGCCCCCCCCGCCGCGCCTAGGCCGCAGCCACATTTTCATCATTTTCGTGAGGAAGTCTCAGGCAAAACGGGGTATACCAGATCCGGTTGTGTTGTTACGATCGGTTTTCCCTTGCAAAAAATAAGGCAAAGTGGACATTTCTTGTTCTAACATGACCAAACTTCAAGAATCCCTTGCAAAAAATGACACGAAGTGCACATTCGCGCGCGCAAGACGAAATCCTTCCAAAACCTTAGTCTTCGTAGCGATTTTCACATAAAAACATGAAAAACCCAATGGTTTTTCAAAAAAAGGGTTTCAAAATTCACCCCGCGCGCTCTTGCGGATTTCTTAGGAAACCCAATACTTTTTCAACATTTCTGTCAAACGGGCTCTTGCGAGCAACTTTTTCACGTGCTTCGAACTTCTGCAACAAAGGTTGCGCGCCTGCCAGGGCCATCATCCCTGTCAAATAATACCATGCGGGACACATTCGTTTTTTCTTCGCGCGCGCACGCCGTCGTCGTCGGCCGCGGGGCCCTGAATAGTAGCCACGGTCGTCCGCATGCCACGAAGTGAAGTGTCCGAACGTCATAGGGCGGGAAGCTGGGTGTGGGTGGTGGCGAAGAGTCGTTTGGAAATTTGGTAGAGCTTGAACCGGCCCCCCCACAAAGTGGGGGTATTGCCCGCCTCCTATGAAAACCCTGGCACTGGTGAGAACGGAGTGTCCCCACGTGCAAGTAATTGTTGTTGTTGTTGTTGTTGTTGTTGGTGTTGTGGTTGTTGTGATTGTTGTGATTGTTGTTGTTGTTGTTGTCGTCGTCGTCGTCGTCGTCGTCGTCGTTGTCGTTGTCGTTGTCGTTGTTGTTGTTGTTGTTGTTGTTGTTGTTGTTGTTGTTGTTGTTGTTGAATTCTCATTTCTGAAGAATAATTATTGTTGATCCCCCCCACTGGTGCATAGGGGAAGTCTTCCTGCTCAAACTGAGCCCCTGGCCCCCGGGTTACAGCAACAACGGCTGCCGCCTGATACTTCCTTACAATTTAGTCAGGACCCCCGCTCCCGCCCGAGACTTCCTCGCATTTGATTCATGAATCGCGCTCTCGCTTGGGACTTCCGTACAATGTATTAAGGAATCGCTCTCTCGGCGCTCTGGAGTCGCGCTCTTGCTGGAGACTTGCTTGCAACTTACTGAAGAATGGCCTTGCGTTGGAATTTCCTGCAATTTGCCCAAGCGCCGCGCTCCCGACACCCAGGCACCCAGGAGTCGCGCCCGTTGTGGCCCCATGTGCATGCCCTTCGTGGCCCCGCTGTCGCCATTTGTGTCCCCCTCACTGTCCTACGTGGCCCAGTTGCTACCCTCAGTGGCCCCATAGTTGCCTTCTGTGGCCCCGTATTATCTGCACTTCGTGGCCCCCGCTCGTTCGCGCTCTTCGTGGCCCCATACGCATTCCCTTCGTGTCCCCGCTGTCGCCCTTCGTGGCCTACTTCGTGCCCTTCGTGGCCCTGCTGTCGTTCTCTCTCGCTCTCGCTTTCGCTCGTCGTCGCCGTCGTCTTCGTCGTTCGTCGTCGTCGTCGTCGTCGTCGTCGTCGTCGTCGTCGTCGTCGTCGTCGTGGTCGGTCCCCTGTCCGTCCCTCTTGGGGTCGGGTTGACGGTCCGCGGCCGCCCCGCCGATCAGCGCTGCCGCCGGCCAGGCCGACGGTCCGCGGCCGCCCCGCCGCTTGCCGGGGCCCGGCCTGCAGGGAAGAAAGGTATACCCCCCAAAAGGGGTTCCATCGAAGACGAAGAGGGCGGGTATCGAGGGTTTGGGAAATACGCGTTATTGGACACTCGAGCATATAAGGGCGAACAGTCTTAACATGTTTGTTGTTGTTGTTCTTCTTCTTCTATCGCCGATCTGGCTATCGGCGGTGTGCCGCCGATTCCAGGTCGATGCCGCCCCCCACGAAAGCAGCCACGCCCCCGACGTTGCTCCCCGGCAAAGGGCAAGGGCCCGGGTTCGGGGCGCAAGCGGCAGGACCTCCACCACACCGCGCCCGCGGCGCTGCGGTTCCCGTGCCTCCGCACGCTCCACCCGCACGGCCGAGCCCCCGCGGCCATCTGGATCCCAGGGGAAGAAGCGTTAAGTCGGGCCTGTCCCCCTACAAAGGGATTTTCGACCCACCCCTCAAAAAAATAACCAAACATGAGCAAAGAATAATCCAAACGTAGTCTGGGGATTATTTTTTTTGGGGGGGTATTTTTTGACAATTTTGGGGCATTTGTTGTGTATTTTTTTGTTTTTCGCCCAAAATCCCGCTGTAGGGCGACACGCCCGACTTAAAAGAAGCGGTACTGAGGCCGCTGCCCTTGTTTCGTTTTCGACTTTTTGGGCCTCCTGGGAGGCCCTCGTCGCCACGGCTGGATGTCCCCCAGAAGTCTGGCCAGCACGCACCCCAGGAGACAGGTCCGGGGAACAGCCGTATGGGTATCTTTCGCCTACGCGTCAGAGTGACCCTTCGTTGCAGTGGAGTTTCGTCGGTCTCACAGGGACGTCCCCAACACTGGCCGACGCGCTTGGATCTGCCCCCCCCCTGGCCCCCTAATTCCGCGCACCAAAGATTTGAATAGGGCCGAGGGTCAGAGAGCGCCTTCCTCTGCAGGGCTACCAAAAAAGGGATGGCAAGGTTTTCGAACGCCTCGCTGGTCAAGCCGGCGAAGATGTGCAACATCCAACCATTCGCTCATATCCAAAGCTTTGGCTTGACGCCGGATGTGGCGCATGAATTTCAGCTCGACCGTGCAGGTCGGTTGCCCTTGACGTCCGCTTGGGGTGTTCTGCAAACCTGACCCCCCAGCCCTACTCAACAAAAGGTCACTCTTGCCTATGCCGAAGAAGAAACATCGCCATAAACATAAACTTCTGGCGCTCCGCACAAATTTCTTGGATACGCGCTGGGCCCCCCCAGCGGCGCCTCTGGCGCCGCCCCTGGCGCGCTCCGTGCGCCAGGGAGGGGGGTCAGGTGCAGATCCAAGGGATCCGCGCGGAGCGCCAACAGCTTGTGCTTGTGGCGTTTTTTCTTCCTCTGCTGCAGGGCAACCCCTGCGTGTGGCCGAGCCTCTTCTTGCCCCACGAGGATCGTGACGCGCGGCCAGCAGCGCGTCCTGCTCATCCACGCCGTGGACGGCCGGGTCGCCTTGGCCCAGATCTCCGGGCCCGGGGGGCCGATGCCGCCGCTGCCTCTCGGAGGAGCAAGCACGGCTACAGAACTGATTTGCCCCAAAATTCGAACGTCCGTCGAATCTATAAAGAGGACGTGCAGTGCTCGTAGGTCCACGAGCATGCCACGTACTTTCGTGGATTCGACGGATCTGGCCCACCACGCTGCGGCGCGACACGCTGATTATCCACGTGTCCCATTTCCCAAGCGTCTACGCCCCACGCTGTGCCCAGCCTCCCGCCCCGCGGGACGGAGAGAGGCGCTGCCCGCTTGCAGGGCACGGCGTGTCGCTGGGGCCGCCGCCGCCACGACGCCCTCGGCACAAAAGTTCGTGACCGTATGCCGTTCCTTGCTTCCTCCGATCGTCTGGACGACGTCAACCACCGGCAGGGCTACAGGAAAGCGTTTTTTTGGTTCCGGGGCGACAGCGGGCGTTACAGGGGGGGGGGGGGACAGGGGGGCGTCAGTCAGTCAATGGGCCGTGCATCCTGAGGATGCGTAGGCAAAAGAGTACATACAAAGTGAGGGCAACCACACACACAAACACACACACACACACGCGCGCCCGCACGCACGCACGAACGCACGCACGCACACACGCACACACGCACACACGCACACACGCACACACGCACACGCGCACACGCGCACACGCGCACACGCGCACACACCCACACAACACACAGCACACAACACACAACACACAACACACAACACACAACACACAACACACAACACACAACACACAACACACAACACACAACACACAACACACAACACACAGCACAACACACAACACACAACACACAACACACAACACACAACACACAACACACAACACACAACACACAAGACACAACACACAACACACAACACACAACACACAACACACACAACGCACAACACACAACACACAACACACAACACACAACACACAACGCACAACACACAACACACAACACACAACACACAACACACAACACACAACACACAACACACACAACACACACAACACACACACACACAACACACACAACACACACAACACACAACACACGCAAAAACACACAACAACACACAAACACACACACACGCACGAGTCACAAACTTGCAGGGGGGAGGGGGGCCGGTAAGGCCACGTGTCGCGCCAGCGCCGTCTGGAGCACGCCCAGGAGGAGCCAGAGCCAGCTCGGAGGTCCGCACGCATATCGTGACGTCACCTGGGGGGGGGGATGGGGGACGGCCGGGAGGAGGAGGAAAGGAGGAGGAGGAGGAGGAGGAGGAGGAGGAGGAGGAGGAGGGGGAGGAGGAGGACGACGACGAGGAGGACGACGACGAGGAGGAGGAGGAGTAGGAGGAGGACGCCGACGAGGAGGAAGAGGAGGAGGAGGAGGAGGAGGAGAGGGCCGGTAATTGCCGTGATCGCGGGAAACAGACGACGCGCTCTCCAGGGGCAAGTCGATGCGATGGGACGTGTGGTGCCGCCGGGACGGGGACTGCTTCGACCTCGGCGGGGGCACCCCGTGCGGTAGGCTTGCGCTGCGCCGGCGCTTCGCCGTGCCCATCTGCAGCGAGGTGCTCGCCGTGGTCCCCAGGAGCGACGAGATCGTCATCTCGAAGAGAGAACAAGGGCACGAGCAGGCAGAGACCTGCGGGGGTCCGCGTGGAGTTCTTGGGATCTGAGGCTCGGAGGATCCCGGCCTCCCAGGTGGGGTCGGAGTAGAAGGGGTCGGAGGATCGCGCCGCATCGCCGATGCATCGGCGATGCGGCTCGATGTGGAGCCCGATTTTCTCCACGCCGACGTCGCCGATGCCTCGCCGAGGTCGTCGATGCGGCGCGATCCTCCGACCCCATCTACTCGGACCGCATCCACGAGTTCTCAAGAGGAGGGCCAGTCGAGGCAGCCGTAGTCGGATTTCGGGGGGCGCCTCCTCTGGCGCCGCGGCCAGGCGCGCGCAGGTCGGACAACTTGTGCGCTTGGACCCTGTGAGGAGTCTGGTGGCGGATCTTTAGATGCTCGTCTTGGGGACCTTCCTGGGGCCCACCTAACGGATCTGTTCCACTCTACTTCGACCCCAGTTCGATTCAAGTGCAGCTCAAGTTCGCCTCAAGCTCGACTCGAGTTCGGCTCAGGTTCGACTCAGGGTCGATCCACATCGACGAGCGTTCGACGCAGCTTCGACGCGAGAGTGGCACGAGCGTCTCCAGGAAGGTCCCCAGAGTGAGCATCCAACGATCTGGAGCTGCCGCTGCCTCACTTCACCCTGCCCCCAGCGACTGGCCGCCCTGCGGCGCCTCTGGTGCCGCCCCCCGCGTCACAGGCGCCGCAGAGGGGGGCCCAGCCCAGTGATCTCTTGGACCTGGCATCGCTCGGACGTGTGCATCTTTTCTCGGCCAGGACCATCGAGAAGCATTGATAATCATTTTGCATCAAAAACAAGCGCGCGAAAGCGAAAAACACACGGGGAATGGATGTCCGAGCGATGGCGAGTGGATATGCGCTGGACCCCACCCCTGGCACGCCAGGGAGGGGCGCTTCGGCGCCAGACCTGGAGCTTGTCACGGACCTCCCCAGGGATCCGACGCTGCGAGAGAATATGGCAACATCGCGGACCAAATCGCGACTGGAGCCCTACAGGGGGGCAAGAGCCCGCAAGATGGTACGGGACGCTCCAATGATGTGCCACCGAACCTGGCCGAAAACTTGCTCAACCTCCTTTCATCCTGGGCTGCATCTGGACTAATCCAACTCAGTGGTCCCTTTATGTGCTGGCAAGTGGAGGCAATATGTTGGTGGCTCGCCCGGTGGAACAAAAAAAGCTCAGTTGCCCCTGTATCGGGCTCCGAAGACCTCCCAGGAGTTGCCTCCTAACACGTCGCCTGGCGCGAACAGAAATGCGACGCCGCCACGATCTCTGGGTTTGTTTGGACGCCCGAGTTCTCCAGGGTAACTCGGGCCCGGGGCAACTCGGGTTCGGATTCCTGAAAAACGAACCCGAGTTAGCCCTGACCCGAATTATCCCTGATGATTCGGAGCTCTGGACGCCCGAGTTCTCCGGGGTAACTCGGGCCCGGGGCAACTCGGGTTCGGATTCCCGAAAAACGAACCCGAGTTAGCTCTGACCCGAGTCGCCCCTGATGATTCGGGGCTCTGGTCTGTGCCCTTCTTCCCTCTTCCGCCGTCGTCCACCGCCTCCACGACGGCGGCCAGGCGCGGCTCTTCCGGGCCCCGGTGTCGCAGGACGGGACGCTGCTGGCCAGCTTCGTGCCGGTGGTCGGGCGGGGCTGGGACTACGCCTCGACCAAGGGCAAGGGCAGGGGCAACCTCAAGGGCTCTCACTCAGGAGGGGAGAAAAGACACTCAGACACAATGAATCTGCGATTCCCCAAAAATATGGGAAAATATGGGAAGTGGGGGGGAAGACAAAAAAAACAGGAAATATGGGAAACTATGGGGGATCTTTTTATATGTGTGTCCCAGTTCCCCTTCACTCATCTGTGGGGCGTTCCAGAAAGGTCCTCGCCTTCGACTTGGCCTCGCTCGGACGTGTGCGTTTTTCCTTCGGCGAGGACCATCGAGTTGCATCCTCGATCATGTGGCGAAAAAACCACGCACGAAACCAAAGAAATACAAAAAATGGACGTCCGAGCGATGGTGAGTCATCTGTGGGGCGTGCCAGAACGGTTCTCGCCTTCGATCACCACCCACCAAACCACCCCAACCCAACCCGAAGGCCTCAGTCTGACCTCCATTTCCAGTGGGGGGGGGGGTCGGGGAACATCGAGAAAACACATATGAAAGCCGTACCCCCCCCAACCCGAAATTCGGGTCTTCGGGTTGGGTTGGGGTGGTCTGGTAGGTAGTCATTCGAGGACCGAAGGAATTGGCATCTCCTCCTTGGAGGAAGTCGGCGGAAGGCCGGCGGAGGACCTCGTCTTCGAGGACCTCACCCTCGAGGGCGGATGGCCTCGCCTTCGGGGACCTGAGGACCGAAGGACCTCGCCTTGAAGGGCGTTCGGTCCTCGCCTCAGAGAGCCGAAGGAGTTTTGGCGTCTTGTGATCGGAGGAAAAGTTGGCGGAAGGCTGGCGGGAGGAAGCAGCGGAAGTAGAAAACGAACCCGCCGCCCACGTTTAGCTTTGGACGCCGCCTGCGACCTAGGATTCGGTCGACGTGGAGCGATCCGAAACGGCCGATCATTCCAGGCGGAGCTCCAGAGGTTTTTGTTTTTACATTTTTTCGAAGGGTGCAAGCCCCTTGGACGCCCATGTTGAAGCTTTTTTCATGCGCGGCGGGTCATCATCACAAGTAGTTCAAGGGTGGACCAAAAGAGGCAGGGATGAAAGGGTACCCTTGGGAAGGTTACCCATCCTTACCATCGGTTTCGACTGTAGGCTGGGGCGGCTCAGCGATCCGTGATCCATGTGGTGTCAGAAACCAACGCAGAAGTCGGCACGACCTGCAGTAACCGCAGGAGGTCTCTACTTTGGGGGATCTCTCCCCCCGTTTTTTTTTCCGCGGCGGAGAATAATAAACTCCGCCCCTCCTCCTCCTCCTCCTCTCTTCCTCCTCCTCCTCCTCCTCCTCCTAGTCGTAGTCGTAGCGGTAGCTGTAGTCGTAGCCGTAGCCGTATCACATCGTGCTCGTAGTTGTCGTCGTAATCGTGGTCGTTATTGTCGTCGTCGTCGTTGCTGCGCCGCGGGTGCCGCGGGGAAATGCTTATCTGCCATCAGTGGTGGGACCCCAGCCCGTCAATAGGGGCGTCGAGAGGATGAGTAGTGTTCACCATTGGGGGGTGGGTTCTAAAGACAGGGCCGTTTTTAATACATGCTCAGCGTGCAGATCATGTATTAGAAATGCAGGGATTTAGTATTAAAATCAACGAGGAATTCATGCGTGACTTTATTCATACATTGATCATGTATTAAAAATCTGATATTTTGAAAACATCCGATGTATAAGAAACTGCCCTGGACCCATCTCGGTCTTCTTTCTGCCCCCCCCCAGGCTCGTGGATAGACCACCACTGGCACGGCGGCGCCCCGTGCAACCTGCCCGCGGAGGTGGACGGCAGGAGCGCCTGCGAGGTGCTGCCGGGGGAGCTGGAGCAGCCCGTGTACGAGTTCCAGCGCTGGCAGGCGCCCCGGGAGGCACAACACACGGGGGAGCAGAGAATGGCACACGGTCCGCCCGCACAGCGAGGCCGAGCGACTTTCCTCAAGGCTCTCCCTGCAGCCTTCCACTTCTGGAGGGCCACATGCGAACCCTGCCCCTGCCCCCCACGATTTCTGAGGGGGAAGGCGGGGTTCACTCCGCTCGGGAGCTGCCGAGCGAAGCGGACCCCACCCTCCCCCTCAGAAGTCGTGGGGGGTAGGGGTAGGGTTCGCATGTGGCCCCCTATCTCCCTGGATCCTTCCACTTCGGCCCATCCTGGGACCCGCTGTCGCCGGCCGCGCCCCGCTCGCAGAAGGTCGGCATGGCCCCTCCCCGGGCCCCTTGCGGCCTCGGCGCGCATCCTCACTGCACGGGCTGGCTGTGCACACGAGCTTCCGGAGGCCCGCGCGGATTTCTCAGATCGGCGCTGGAGCCCCCCGGCACCTCCGGCGCCGCCCCTGGCGCGCTCTCCGCGCCCCAGGGGAGGCGGGAGTCCAGCGCCGATCCAAGAAGCGCGCGCGGACCGCCCGGAGTTTCAGTGCTGATGCCATTGTCTCGTCCCTCCAACAAAGACGTGGCATCGCGCGGACGCGTGCATCTTCTCTCGGCGAGGGCCATCGGGGAGCATCCCGGATCGTCTGGCAGAAGAAGCACAGACGAAGCCGTCAGGTGCACGGGACATGGACGTCCGAGCGACGGCACGAAGGACCGGCATGGCGTGGACCCAGGCGTGCGCGCGCGTCGTGGACAATAATCACGACGGACGGCTCCTGGCCGTTTTCGGCCCCCAGGGGCCTTCGCCGGGACCCCAGGCTCGGTAGTAATTCGTGGGTGCTCTGTATGTCCTCGGGATTCTGTCTTCAGAGTGTACTCGCGTGCGCTAGCGTCTGCTGATTGATGAAAAGGGCCGGCTTAGCGTCGATCAGCGTCGATGTAGCGTCGATTAGCGTCTATTGGCGCTGGTTGGCGTCGATCCACGAGAGGCAGCAAGATGGCATGGGAGACTCCCGTGAGCTGCTACAGGACCAAGACCTTCAGAAAGCGACTCGGGATAAAAAACCGGCACTGGCAAGAGGTTGCGGACTTCTGGGAACCCCGTACAGTCGATCATCTGATTAAGAAACATCCGCCCGAGAAGCTCGGCCAGCGTTTTTGAACCAACTTGCTGGAGAGCTGGCCCAGTTTCGTTAGCACGTTCGCCCCCCCAGCGTCCACACCAGAAGTTGTCCTAGGCTTGCTTAGAAGCGTCCGAGAAGCTGACCTAGATTTCTTGAATGATACATGATATGCTCGGGGACCCCGTGAAGTCGGACCGAGGAGCAAGACCGAGGTCGGTTCGGGGAGGGTGCCTTACTCTTCTTCGTGTTGGTTTGGATTTCTTGTGCCTTCTGGGGAGGTTACCCTTGATTGTTCCTGTGTCTGTGTGTTTTGGCCGATGGAGGGTCTTATGTTCTTGAAGCATGTTCTGCTGTCCAAGATCCGACCGTATTTGAAAATCTGGACCCTGGGCGTTTTCTCGGCTTCGTATAAGTTTCGTTTAAGTGAACCTGGACTAGTGCTTTGCGTGAAGTACTTTTAACTCTGAACAGGGGTGTTTACTAACATCAGGACATCGCATGTCTGTGGGCACATACACGCCTGTTGATGAAAGTTTGTGTTTTTGGACACGCAGATCCCAATCTACTTCGAGCGCATTCCGACTTCAGGAACCGATCTGCTCCTGCTGTGGTCTGTTCTTTTCCGGGAGAGCATGAACCCAACCTGTTGTTCCGCCTTTTACGTCATGTTTTTACCTACTTCTCCCGACCGACGCGAGCGACGCAAAACAAACCGGGCCTGTTGCGCCAACATTGGCGCGTAAGTTGCCCGCGTTGGTCGCGCGTAAGCGCCCTCGTCTCCAACTTTAGCATGCCGCGCCGGCGGCCCGCGTAAGCCGCCGCGTAAGATCGCTACAGTCGGGGCCCTGACGAAGGAACCCTTTTCGTTGGGGAGGGGCTCCGCGTTCCTTAAGTGTTTCATAGCTTGCCTCAGGTTTTCCTTATGTTTTCGATAGGACATCGAAGTTTAACTTATGGAAAAAAGGGGTACCCTTCCTTGTTTAGGGTTCCTCAGGTCAACGCCCCGACTGTATGCCATCTCGCGTAAAACCTGTTTTCGATCGTCGTCCATATGCTCTTGCTCTGCTCTGTTCTTCTCTGGGAGAGCCCGAGCCCAACTTACTTGTTCCACATTCCTACGCCATGCTTTTGGCTACTTCTTCCGACCGATGTATCTTCGATCGGTGGCGAGCGAGGGGGGTTGGAAGTGAGCAGGAGCGGGCCTTCTCAGAAGGCTCGGACGCCCCCAAGGCCTTCTGACAAGTTTTCGAAGCCTTCCCCGAAGACAAACCCACTTCTCAGAAGGCGCGAGGGCTTCTGAGAAGTCCCCCGCCCTCTGAGAAGGCGCTCTCCTTCTCATTCCCCCCCCTCGCTCGCCGCCGAGTGTCTTCGAGAATCCGGACTAGGGGAACGAACAATGACATAAACATAAAAACTCGGAGGTCCGCGCGGATTTCTCGGATCGGCGCTGGACCCCCCTCCCTGGCGCGCGGAGCGCGCCAGGGGCGGCGCTGGAGGACGTCCGTGACGGCAAGGCCAGGGGGGGGATGGGCTCAGGGGATGAGCTCATCGGTCCCAATTCGCCCACTCATCGCTGATCGGTGCCCTGGCGCCTCAACCTGTCCAGGAACGTGGGCTCCTCCTCCGGCGGTCTGCCGCCGATCCATCTGTGACCTATCGCCGATTCCATGTGTGTCTTTCTGCCCCCAAGGCAGCCGGCCCCCCCCCGCCCTTTTTTCGGCTCCCAGCATCCAGGTGCTCCATCCGGGGACATCCCCCGTCATGCTCAGGTCGAGCAGCCACACCGGGACACTGCCCGCGATCATCGGCAAGGCCGGGAGCAGCGCCTGGGACCAGAGGCCCCGCTGCCCCCTCGCTGCCCCCTCGTGCCACACCGTGCCCCGCCCGGGCTCGGGCGCTCGCGAACGCTGCCAGCACCACCCGGATCCCCTGGTGCAGCACTGGGTGGTGACCGCCGACGTGTGAGCAAAAAAGTGCGCCTCCGCGCGTCGGTCGCCACGGGTTCTCCGTGGAGGCCCGCGCCATTCCGCAGGAGGACCTCCGCGCGTCGGTCGCCACGGGTTCTCCGTGGAGGCCCGCGCCATTCCGCAGAAGGAGGAGGAGGAGGAGGAGGAGGAGGAGGAGGAGGAGGAGGAGGAGGAGGAGGAGGAGGAGGGGGAGGAGGAGGAGGGGCAGAGAGGAGGAGGAGGAGGGGGGGAGGAGGAGGAGGAGGAGGAGGAGGAGGAGGAGGAGGAGGAGGAGGAGGGAGGAGGAGAGGAGGGGAGGAGGAGGAGCAGGAGGGGGAGGAGGAGGAGGGGCAGGAAGGAGGAGGAGGGGGGAGGAGGAGGAGGAGGAGGAGGAGGAGGAGGAGGAGGAGGAGGAGGAGTAGGAGGAGGAGGAGGAGGAGAGGAGGAGGAGGAGGAGGAGGAGGAGGAGGGAGGAGGAGGAGGAGGAGGAGGAGAGGAGGAGGAGGAGGAGGAGAGGAGGAGGAGGAGGAGGAGGAGGAGGGAGGAGGAGGAGGAGGAGGAGGAGGAGGAGGAGGAGGAGGAGGAGGAGGAGGATGAGGAGGAGGAGAGAGGAGGGAGGGGGAGGAGGAGGGGAAATACGGTGGTCACCCCCCCCCCGAGCGAGGGAGCTCGCGAGGACTGGAGCCAGGTGGTAGACCTGTAGGAATGCCAGGACGGTCGGTCCCTGCTCAATCCTTCCCCTCCCCGTCCTGCTCTTCCCTCCTCCCTCACTCCCTCCACCCTCCCCCTCCACCTATTTTCCTCCTTCCCCCTGCTTTCTCTTGGTCTCCTTCCCCCTCCTTCTCTTGCTCGCGCCGCCCCGCCCCGAAGGGTCGCGAGGACCGCGAGCCCCCCCCCCGAGCGAGGGTGGCCCAGCACTGGTGCCGGCCATCGCGGAAAAAGGGGGCGAGCTGCGACGTTCTTTACCAGCCTGGAGCATATCCCTATCCTTATGCTGGGCACCTCCTCCTCACGATGCCGATCTTAGGGATCCCCTCATTTTTTGAGGGCGGATCCCTAAGATTGTCATCGCCTTTTGGCGTGTCAATCTTAGGGATAGGGATAGGGATACGTTCGAGGCTGGTAAGTTCTGGGTTTGGGAAGGCGTTTCTGTGTTTTCTGCCTCTGGGGGCCATCTTCGGGCCCCGGCGCTGAGAGTGGATCCGGGGTGACAAGAACTGCCACCAGATGGACCCCAGGAGGGGACGAAAAAAGGGTGCGCGCTGCGTCGTTCTGGGTCTGGGAAGGCGTTTCTGTTTTCTGCCTCTGGGGGCCGTTTTCGGGCCCCGGTGATGAAAGCGGATCCGGGGTGACAAGAACTGCCACCAGATGGGCCCCAGGAGGGGCCCAAGGATTGATTCTGAACGGATTGCCTTCATCCCCTCCTCTGGACTCATACTTTAGGGTCCCACCATGTTCAGGCCGCCCAGCCGCCTCCATCGCGAGGATGTCCTCGGACACCTCAGAGGGGATGCTGCAAGAGTAGGCAGGGAAGAGGATGAGTCCGAGGAGGGGAGTGATGATTGTAATCATGGTGGTGACGAGGAGGATGAGGAGGAGGAAGAGAAGGAGGAGCAGGAGGAGAAGGATGGCCAGTGTAAACCCAATACGCATCAACGATGCCGCAATACACCGTCTCTCCAAGTTCCATTTTCACAGGTCCCTACGATCATGTATTTTCATTGCGGGAAGTGCTCCATCGGAAGACAATCGTCTGATAATATTCAATCGTGCCAGAACACAAGCTCTGTGATTTCAGCGCTGCGACTCAAAATGACTCTTGTGTCCTGACAATCCTAAATCGGGCATCCGCGAATCAACGCTATTGCTGCGTCCTGCGAATCCTATCTGACCTCCACTCCCGGGAGTTCAACTACGAATCTTTGAAATTGCTGCAGCAGTTCCAGACGAATGTGTGCGGCGCCATGGCGAGAGCCGCATTTTGAAAGTGAGCCGCCCTCCACCCTTGGAGCTGCTGCAAGCTTTTCAAGCGAAGTTGCGCGGCGCTAAGGCGAGAGCAACTTTTTGAAACTGGTCCGACCTCCATTCGTGAAACTGAAACTGGCCCGACCTCCATTGCGAATTTCCAAGACGAGTGTGCGCGGCGCTAACGCGAGAGCCACATTTTGAAAACGGCCCGCCTGTCATCCATGAAACTGTTAATAACTTTTCATAGGAAGTCTCAGGCGAAGCGTCCCGCCCGCCCTGCCGTGGCGTCTAAGGGTGTGACAGGGAGGAGTTACTAATAAAGAAGAGGGATGGAGGAGGTGGCGGAGGTGGGGGAGGAGGAGGAGCAGGAGAAGGCTGAGGAGGAGGACCAGGAGGAAGAGGAGGAGGAGGAGGAGGAGGAGGAGGAGGAGGAGGAGGAGGAGGAGGAGAGGAGGAGGAGGAGAAGAGGAAAGCACAGCCGGGAAGGGCCAGGGGACTTGCAGGGTTCTAGGCCTCCCAGATGGGGTCGGAGTAGTCGGAAGATTGCGCCCCATCGCCGATGCATCGCCGATTCGGCTCGATGTGGAGCCCGATTTTCTCCGCGCCCACGCTGGTGCATCGCCGACGTCGCCGGTGCCTCGCGGGTGCCTCGCCGATACATCGGCGATGCCTCGGCGATGCGGCGTGGTCCTTCGACACCATCTGCTCCGACCCCATCCAGGAGGCCCCTAGACCTGCAGGGGGTGGGGGGGGGGTCTTGGCATCGCTCGGACGTGTGCATTGTTCCCTCGGCGAGGACCATCGAGGAGCATCCCTGATCATTTTGGGGGAAGAAGCCACGCACGAGACCGAACAAAAACACCGGGGATGGACGCCCGAGCGACGGCGGGGGGTGGGGTGGGGTGGGGGGGAGCCCAGAGCGTGGGGGGGGGGGCAGGCAGGGCGGCCCAGCCTACTACGCCCCCCCCGCCCCCACGGCTGCCGGCGGCCCGGCAGGTCCGGCGGCGGCCCTCGCGGCAGCCAGCGGCTCCGAGCGGTCTTTTCGCGTCTCGGGGCCCCACATATGAACATGGTGACAGTCAGCCCGCACCTCCGTCGGAGGGTGCGTTCCCTCTCTCTCTCTCTTTTTTTGTTCTCTCTCTCTCTCTCTCTCTTCGAGCGCCCGCCCCGGAGGTGTGTTCCCAGCTTCGAGCGCGCACGCACCAGAGAGCACAACCCTGGGGCACCCCGGCGAAGGATGGGCAGCCTTCCACAGCCCACCTTTGCTTGCATCCCTGCCTCCTCGGCCCATGCTTGCCGACTCTCGTTGGCCGCGGCCCGCCCGCAGAGGGTCGGCACGGCCTCCCAAGGCCCCTGCACCCTTACCGCGCATCCTTCATGGAGGGTGACGATTAATAAATGACCGGGGGTCGTGTTCACGCGGCGGCGCCCGGGATGACGATTAGAAAAAACCGGCCTCGGGCTGGAGAACTATTCGTCTTCATCGTTCTCCCCCAGTCAGAAAATCGTGCAGAGATAGCAGAAAACTATTTGTTGAATCGTTCTCTCCCATTTGTTTTATTAATTGTCATCCCGCATTACTATGCGGGTTGGCTGTAACCCGGCCGGACGTGTGATGTCCCGATGTGTTGTTCAGTACGGGTTTCCCGGAGGTTCCGATCCCTTTCCTTGGGCTGGTTGTCATCCGGAGTCGTTTTTTTGTTGGCGGTTCTGGGGCCCGTCGAGGGCCCCCAGAAGCCGAACAAATTGTAATTTTACGTTTTGATTTGTTCACGACGCGAATTTGTATGGGGCAAGAGCCGAATGAACACGGCATGAATACAAACTTTCGGAGATCTGGGCCGATTGTTTTTATTTGCGCTGGCCCCCTTCGTTAGCATGAGAACAGACGGGCGCCCAGAAGTCAAAACTTCTGAGACCCGCGAAAGCCTCTGCTCCCTCTTCCGCCTCCTCCTCCACTGTCCCTCTCCGCCTCCTTCCTCTCCCCCCTCCTTTATCCCCGCTCGAGCCTGTTTTTTGGGGCTCTCTGGTGGTGACGGGCGTGGCCGAGGTCCAGCTCGCCACGTGCGAGGGCCTCCCGAGCTGCAGCGACGCGTGTGTACCGCGGGACTGCGAGCTCGAGGACTGGAGCGGCTGGAAGGACGGGGCCTCGGGGGGGGGGAAAGGGAGAGGTCGAGGGTCAGAGGAGGAGAGGGTATTGATACCGCTGCCCGTGCCTCGTGCCCTCATTTTGGGGTCTCCTGGGAGGCCCGCGTCGCCACCGCCTGATGCGCTTCGAAATTCTGGTCAGAACGCATCCCGGGAGAGGTGCGTGGAGTAGCAGCGCTATCGGTATCTCTCGGTTTCCCCAATGAGGGGGATGGACGAGGCGAAGGAGTAGGATGAGTAAGAGGAGGAGGATAATGAGAAGGAAGAAGAGGAGGAGGCGGAGGAGGCGAAGAGGGATGAGGAGGAGGAGAGGAGTAGAAGGAAGGGAATTTGGAGGGGGATGCGGTGCGGAGGGGAGCGAGGAGGAGGACCATGTTAGACACATGTGCGGTGCAGTCCAGCCAGAGACTGGGAACGCGGATGTGAATTTGGGACGAGCTCTTCGATGACTTTGCTATTGCCCTTGGCATGTGAGGGATGATACTGAATCGGGAGGAGGAGGAAGACGCGGATGATGGGGAGGAGGGTGAGCAGTTGCCTTTTGGGGGGGCGGGGCCTCCAATGGAGTGAATGTGTGTGTGTGTGACTTCGCCGCGGCTGGGTCCGCTTTGGGAGCCTGGCCAAGGCGCGTCCGGGCGGCGGTCCTGGGGCAGGATTGGGGGGTCGTATAGGGGAGGCGGGCGTAATGCTGAGGGGGAGGGAATGGGAGGACTGGAGAGAGCGAGAGAGAGAGAGAGAGAGAGACGTAGAGAGAGAGAGAGCGAGAGAAAGAGAGAGAGAGAGAGAGAGAGAGAAAAGTAGAGAGTGAGAGGGAAATCTATAGAACCAGAGACAGAGAGAGTGGGAGAGACAGGAAGAAACAGAGAGAGAGAGAGAGAGTGACAGGGAGAAAGAGAGACAGAGAGAGAGAGAGAGAGATAGAAAGAGAGAGAGAGAGAGAGAGAACAACAAAAAAACAACGGCGCCCGACCAAACGCAACGTGCGAGCCGACGTAAGGCTGGCCACAGGAATGCACCATATACGAATAGAAGATACCATAACCGAACATAACGTGACAGAGTATAATGCGGCAGCCACGGAGGAACGGCGTCTTTCAGACTGCGATGCGCGCGCCGAGCTCATGCAAGCGACAGGATTAAGCAGTACTGGAGTCGGGAACACACGCCGAACGTTTTGGTGAGAATCGCTCGACGTAAAATCCGTATCTGGGTGTGCAGTTACGTTTTTGGAGGGTTTACCGGTTCGCGGAGTCACACAGCATGGTAACCTTGTCCTTCGGGGTTGCATTCAGTTGCCGCTAGAATCATAGCGAGAGCCATTTGCTGGCGCGCCTGCTTGTTTTATGCGCCCTTAGGACGTGCGCGAAAGAGGAGGAGGAGGAGCGGAGGAGGAGCGGAGAAGGAGGAGGAGGAGGAAGACCAGTGTAAACTCAAGAGTCGTCAACGGTGTTGGACTACGAAAGCCCTCCCCCCAAGCTTCCTCTTCATAGGCCCCTACAGCGGTTCATTTGCACAGAGGGACCTGCCTCGTTGGAAGACAACCGACTGAAGACCCTGAAGCATGCCAGAACATTGTTCTCGGTATTCCAACGCCACCGAGAAACCTGACTGTTGCGTCTTGACGATCTTGAATCGGCCAGGCCAGAACGCCATCCCTGAACTTCACCACCGCGAATTATCATGACTGGTGCGCCCTCAGAATCGTGAACCCCCTCCTAAAAAGAATTTCTGGTGCGCTGATCAAGGGAATCCGGGAACCTCTTTTAATTGTTTAACAAACATGTGCGCGGCGCTCTTGCAAATGTTGAAAACGAATGTGGGCGGCGCTACGGCGAGAGCCACATTTTGAAAACCACCCGCCCTCAATCCGTGAAGCTCTTGCAACATTTGAAAACGAATGTGGGCGGCGCTAAGGCGAGAGCCACATTTTGAAAACCACCCGCCCTCAATCCGTGAAGCTCTTGCAAATGTTGAAAACGAATGTGGGCGGCGCTAAGGCGAGAGCCACATTTTGAAAACCACCCGCCCTCAATCCGTGAAGCTCTTGCAACATTTGAAAACGAAAATGGGCAGCGCTGAGGCGAGAGCCACATTTTTTAAACCACCCGCCCTCCATCTGTGAAGCTGTTGTCAGTTTTTTAGCTTCAGGGTCAGAAGTGGTGAGGAAGTCTCAGGCGAAACGCCCGGTCCGCCCTAAAAGCTGTTCTCGGGGTGCGAAAGGGAAAAGTTAGTTATAAAGAAAAGGAAGTGAGGAGGAGGAGGAGGAGGAGAAGGAGGAGGAAGGAGGAGGGATGTGCGCTTGCTTCGCCCGTTGCACTATCTCTCTGCGAGATGGCCGCGCTCGCACTCTCGCCCTGGCGCCTGCGGCCAAGAGGCCATGGGCAGCTGCTCGGGGCTCTGCGAGCGCAAGCGCAGGGTCAACACCTCGAACAACGAGTGCGGAGCCCCCTGCGAGGAGCCCTGCCGACCGAGACAAGGGGTGGGGAAGGGGATCGTGGCATCGCTCGGACGCGTGCATTTTTCTCGGCGGGGACCATCGAGGAACATCCTGGATCATCTTGCGGCAACAGACGCACTAAACCGACACATGCTCGGGGAATGGACGTCCGAGCGACGGCACGGGAGGGGGAGGGGGGAAGAAGAGACGGAGGGGGAAGAGGGGCGTCCGAAGGATGAAGAAGGGAGCAGGAGGGAGATGATGACAACAGTCAGAGGAGCTCAGTGGGTGCCGGCGTGTTGGGGGAGTCGGATGAAGGGGGAATGGTTCGATGAGTTCGATGAGGACGACGGTGATGATCATGGCGACAGTGATGACAGTGGTCCTGGTGATTCCACTGAGGATGGCCCGACGAGGGGCCGAGCGCGTCGGAAAACTTCGGGGGTCGAGGGGAGGGCTTGGCCACACGCGCCCTGAGATCCGACCGCGCGAGGAAAGCACAGCGTTGCGCCAACGCACGATCGGAGCCACCAGAGACCCCGACCCCAGCTTTCCGAGTCGGCTCGATCTGTGAGGGTCCCGACGCCCAACGCCGGGCAAGAAAACGCCTGCACGCGCGCGCGCGCGAAGCCCGGCATCCAGCGGGACGCGTGGGAAGAGGAAACGCCCACTGTGGACAGCACGGGGAAATGCAGCGCCAGGATCTCAGTGCGCCACGCCTGCCGAGAAGCGAACATTGACAGAAAGCCCTCGCAGACAGGTCGACAGGAAATCTGCACGGGTTCACTCGTCATTGGCGTTCCAGTGCGCCAGTGTTGTCCCCAGTCGGTTTTGCCAGTCGACATGCGATTCGACAGATTCGGTTATGGACGCCGACTGGCTGCCCCGCATGGGTGCACTCGGAATGCGGTGCCGTGCGCACGTGGAGTGGCTCTGGCAGCTTTCACTCAAAGTGCGTTCTGCTGAAGTCACCGAGCGCGTTCCATTATTCGCAGAGTGCCTACTCGCAGACGTCTGGAACACACGCGTTTGCCTCGATGCAGGAGATCGTAGATCCCCTGCGGTGTTCATCCGGGCCATTTGCGAGCCGTTACTCTGCCAGTACAGTCGGACCGGATTAGTAGGTCGAGCCTGCCAGTTCAAGGGTACCCTTGTGTCTTGTGCCTCGCGACACGTGCCTTCTTACACTCCTATGGCGATGCGGCCCTCGGAAGGGTCTTGTGTCCTCTCGCGTGGCCTGTCCACTCAAGGCCGACTGTAGTGGCACGCGCTTGCCTATGTGAAGGAGAGCAGGGCCCAGGCGAGGAGGGAAAGCCGCGCCAGTGCCGCCCCCAAGAGGGCGCCCTCTCGGAGACCTCCGCGCGCCCAGAGTGCCTGCAGAGCAGCTGCGCCGTGGAGGACGGGCCCGCCTGTGCCCGCCGACGCCCGTCCCGTCCTCCTCCTCTCCTCCTCCTCCTCCTCCTCCTCCTCCTCCTCCTCCTCCTCCTCCTCCTCCTCCCTCTACTCTTCTTCCTCCTCCTCCTCCGCCTCCTCCTCCTCCTCTCCTCCTTCTCCTCCTCCTCCTCCGCCTCCTCCGCCCCCTCCTCCTCCTCCTCCTCCTCCTCCTCCTCCTCCTACTTGTCCGTATCCTCCTCCTCCGTCTCCTCCTCCGCCTCCTCCTCCTCTGTCTCCTCTTTGTCCGTCTCCTCCACCTCCTTCTCCTCCTCCTCCTTCTTCTCCTCCTTCTCCTCCTCCTCCTCCTCGACTCAGCCGAGGCACAGCATGTTTGCCACGCCTACCATAATGCGGCGGAGGGGACCAAACGCGCACCCCCCCCCACGACTCCCCAGAGCATGGGGGGACACAATATCAGTGTCATGGGTGCGTACATCTGGTGTCGTCGGTGCGCTGAATGTCAGTTTGTGATTAACAAGAGCCCCCCCCGGGGCTGATGAATAGACCTCGCGGGGCGCGATACTTTTAAATCACGCGCGCCAGGGGTAAGGAGGAGAGAGGAGGGGGAGTGGGGAGAAGGAAAAGAAGGAGGAGGACGAGAAAGAGGAGGAAGAGTGGGAGGAGGAGGAGGAGCAAGAGGAGGAGGATGCGCACAGCTGGTTTCGGTCGCCCCGCCGAAGGGCCAGTGCTCTACGCATGGCCGCTTTGGGCGCCAGGCGGCGCTTGGAAATTCGGCGACGTGAGCTGCTTGTTAAATCCCCCCTTTGCTGCGCACCACTTTCGTCCAGCCCGCCTTGTCAGCAGGCCCGCATCGGTTCGACAGAAAAGGGGGCGCCCTGGCTCGCCCTTGTCTCCACCCCCCCCCCTTGCCCCTCCTTGGCGGCCGGGCGTCGGCGCTAATCACCGGCGCTGCCCCGTTTATTTTCAATATGGCGGGTGCCACCCCGCCATTCGCCCGAGCAGGGGACTTTAAACACGCGCCCCCACGGGTGTGTTAACCAAAAGCTGACATTATTGGGCCGTCAGGTTTGGGCTAGCTTTTCGAGTCCCCAGGCCTGTGCCGCGCGATCCTCTACCCAGCCGTCGCCGTTCTCGGGAGAGCTTGATTGCAGGGCGTCATCCCAATACCCTGGAGGGTCCTGTGCCGTGAGTCGCGGATCCTGTTGTGCACTGTCGGCGCCAATGTTGGTGCTTTTTTAAACCTCGTCAGCTTGGTGTCGCTCGGATGCGCGGACGGCATGTGGTCGGCGCGCCCTCTCTCTCCCTCTCTTTCGTGTCCAGGCCATGAGCTTGGGGGGGGGCTTGGTAAGCCCCAAGCGGTCCCGAGCGCCGAATTCACGGCTCTCTGGTGGGCCGTCAAGTTGTCCCAGGGGCCAACCTGGATATGCACAGACAGCCAGATTGTTTACGACGGCTGGCATGGACGCTCAGACACCTCAGGAGTTCTGGCCGGGGGCATGGGGGGCCGCGGGAAACGCGCTCGCCGAGGCTGCCCGGGGCAGGCCTCTCAGGGGGAGGCCGTGGCTGCGGAGGAGCCGGCCGCGGCGGCAGCAGACGCTGGGGCCGAGGCGGGCCGACGCCAGCGGCCGAGACGACGCGCCAGGGCTGGTGGCGCCCGGCCCCGGGCGGCGGCGGCGGCGGGCGCCGACGCCGACGCGGCGAGTGCTTCCCCGATCAATGGCGCGCCACCTGCGAGCGCCTGCCCGCGGGGGTCGGCGGCGGGACGCGGCGCCGGCGGCCACCGGGGAGCTGCGGAGGCTGGCCCTCGAGTGGCCCGCCCAGGGGCGCTGGGCGGAGGCGCGGGCCGTCGCCCACGCGCTGGGCGTCTCCACGCGGGGCAAGCTGGGCGCGGTCCAGCAGCGGCTGGCGGGCGAGCCGGCGGAGCTCGGCGACGCGGCGCTGCGCCGCGTTGTGGCCAGGGCGGCCGCGCACGCCGCGCCAGCCGACGCGTTGGCCTATGGGCCGGGTTGGCCGCTGGCAGCGCCGGGGAGGCCCCGCCGCTCGGGGGCTCGCTGGCACTGCGGCCGCGGCGTCGCGCGGGCCCCCCCCCCGCCGGCCCTGGGCTCCTTGAGGGCCCGGGCGCGCGCCTGGCGCGCGCTCCCCTCCTTGCCTCCCCCCTTCCCTCCTCCCCCCCCTTCGCCCTTTGTCGCGTCGTCCTGGACGTCGTCGTCGTCGTCGTCGCCGTCGTGGTTTGTGTTCGTCGTCGTCGTCGTCGTCGTCGTCGTCGTCGTCGTCGTCGTCGTCGTCGTCCCTCTTTCTCTTGCCACAGGGCTCCTCTCGGCTGTTAAAAGATTGCGCCAGGCCCTTGTCGCAGCAGGGCCCCGCCAGCACTGGTCAAGGGTCCGAGGCCCCCTTGGCGCGCTGCAAGTCCCGCTGATGGACGCGAGCTGGGAGTCGACGTCGGGAGGGGACCTTCAGGACACGTCCCGGGCGCCAGCAGCGAGCTGGGCCTCACTTCGCTGCGATGCGGCTTGGGGGCCAGCAGAGGGCAGGGCCACACTTCGTTGAGACGTACACTGGGTGGCACTTGGTGGATGAGAAGGGAAGCGAGCCCTTCGGCGTTTAGCTGCTCTGATATGCACGTATGGAAACGTAGCGCGTGCTGTGTTCAAACCGTCCGTGTTCAAGACGTACGTGTTCGGTCTACGTGTTGAGCTCCGCATCGATACGCTACGTGTTGCGTGTTGCGCCTCGGGGCAGCTAAGCTTCGGCGACTTCATTGGCCACCAGGGGCTGCTTCATGACCTCAGGACGAACACCACGGCGCAGCGCGAGCAGGCGGCTGCAGGACATGATCACGGAGGCGACCTGGCATATGGAGCGGGCCTGCACCCGCTACGAGGCGAGCTTGGACGCAGGGCGCGTCGAAAACAGTTCACGGAGTGGACTCTGAACCATGCGGTGGCGAGCAGAGGGCATCCGGTAGACGAGCTCTGCCCGCGGTGCCGCCTGGAGCAAGAGTCCCTGCTGCACCGTATTTGGCCCTGCCTCGAAAACGCGGTTGCAGACCACTCTTGAGTTCAAGTGCTCGGCTGTGATGGCCCCCCAGGCCCTTGCTGGGTATGACAGCCAGCTGGCCTTGTGGCGCCGCGGGCCCCCTGCCATGGACCTGATGCGCCCGAGCTCGGGCAAGGATAGCCTGTAAGACGCCGTCCTCCTTTTTTGTTGGCGAGGGCTGCCTGTCATGATCACAGGGTGGGAGGACTGGTGATTATCTTCAGGGACGGGTCGGGAGGGAAACGCCCCGATGATCTGAGAAGGCGTCGCTGTTGAGCAGCGGCCGCCACGGTCTGTGAGAGCGAGGGCGCCGAGGATTACGGCCTAGGCGCGACAATAGGTGTGCCTTTCACCGCCAGCACGCTCCGAGGGCTGAGCTCCTGGCCCTGTGGTTAGCCCTGGAAAGCACGTTTTTTTTTGTGCGTCGTGGACCACGAGGCCATCGCGAGGGTCTGGTCGTGGCGGTTCGTCCCTAGGTCTAAGGCTACAAGCGGGGACCTCTGGCACCGTGCACGCCTGGCCATGTCGGCTTGTGGGGCTGGGGAGGTTACGATCGAGTGGACCCCCCCAATGCTGAGTAGGACCGCGGCAGCCTTCGCTACAGCGGTGGTTTGCTCTTGGCACGGGAACTGTGTTCACGGACGTGGGGGCTGGGGGTGCGGCGGAACTTGCGCAGAAGAGGGCGCGCGCCCGTGCGGCGGAGCGGACAGACTTGTGGGATGCCGCGGCAGGTCTGGTCTGCGCCCGCGCGAGGCGCGCCCCGGAAATTCCCCTGGGGGCGGGCATCGAGAGCCGATAGGGAGTAGCTGCTTGGAGAAAGGAAGGCCCCCCATCGCTCTCGCCTCGAACTGGCGATGGAGGTTTCTGCCCACAGTGTCACGAGAGTGGGATGCAAGTGGCAGCGCAGAAGCTGCAAACAGTGCGCCGGAGGTGCCCGGCCGAGTTCTGCAACGCGGGATGTCAGGGCGTGGCGCGAGAGTGCGCACCGACTGCTTCGACCACGCCTGGTGTGGCCCCTTGCTGTGAGCCCCTGCGGTCCCGGCGTGGGGATGCACCCGTGCCATGTGCAAAAGGGGCTGCTGGGCCAGGTGTCGACTGCACTCCTGCGCTCGCCGTGGCCAGTCTCTTGGCATCGCTCGGACGTGTGTATTTCTCCTTCGGCGAGGACCATCGAGGAGCATCCTTCATCTATGGCGAAAACAAAAAGCTGCGCACGAGGCCGGAAAAAAAACACAGGGAGTGGACGTCCGAGCGATGGCCAGGTCTGCGACGGCGGATCTCTGGCACGTGCGCGCGGTCCGCGCCGTGCCGATCCGCAGGAGGGCGGGCGGGAGCAGCTGCCCCGCAGCAACAGAGAAGTGGTCTGCGCCAGCGGGGGGCAGGGCCCCGCCCCGAGCCGCGCGCGAGGGCTCCTGCACCTCGGAGAGGGCTCGCGAGGCCGAGTGCCGGCCTGCACGCGAGGCCGGGCTCGGGGGAAGCCCCAGGGCCGGGTGTTGCTAGAAGTGCCCCTGGCCCAAGGTACCCCCAGGATTCTCGGGGTGGCCCAGACGGCCTCCAGAGCACCCCTCACGAGGCCCAGAGGGCCCCAGAGGCTCCACAGTGGAGCGAAACGTTGGGGGCACCTTGGACCAGGGGCACTTGCAGCAACACCCGACAGGGGGCCTCGGAGGGGCAGGGGGCCCTTGTCCTCGGCCTCGGCGTCGCCGAGGGGTGGTCCGAGGTGCGGGGGCCCGGGGGGGGTCTGCTCTCGGGGCCCTCCAGCCACCCGGCGGGCCGCGCCCCCTGGAGAGCGGCGGCGCCTGCCTCCGCACATCCACTCCTGCCGCCGCAGGTGGCCTCCAGCCTCGAGGGCGAGCGGGGCGCGTGTGGCAGGGGTCTCGATGCCTGTGGTGCAGGTGGGCGGCCCACCCATTCGAGGCACGCGGCGCACCCATTCAGAATCCTGGCTTCGAATCTTCCGCCCTCTC